CTAACTACCTTTAAACAAGAGGTTCACTCAGTCACATGGTAGCAATGACTAAATGAATTCTAAGAACCTACTTCATATTGTGTCCAAAGAATTATATACGTTTTGTAATAGAATATTTGACTATATAAAATCTAAAATAATGAATATTGACAATCTATAAAAAAGTGGTTATCAGTCACATCAAATGGAATTCACCAGACATTCCGCAAGAACCATATGCCATTATATTATTCGAGATTGAAATAGTAAGTTTTCTTGACGGAATTTGAGACATAATATAAATGTAAATAAACATAAAGTGTGAAGGACACAGAAGAATAAAAATCCCAAAAAACATAAATTTCCTTTAAAAAATTTATGCAGATGCTATATAAAATGTCGATAAAAACGGTCTGTTTTGTCGTGCAATGCCGGACGGATTAAATTGCTACAAACAAGCGACGGTGTAGAGTACAAAAAAGCAATGGATCGAATAATTGCTGTATTATTCAAACATGAAATAAATTGGCAAGAAGTGGTTGTTGTTTAGTGGGAAAATCGCTAGGACACGATGTGGCTGAAAATAGACAGTTTACCATTTCAGAATTATGTTATAAAAATTCACGAAAAACTTGAAAAATTTTTTTAGAAAAACCTTGTGATTAAAACGAATTCAGAAATCGAAGACATCCATAAAAATTTATGTTTGCTAACTCGACATCCTTGAATATAGGATCATTAAAATATTTAAGACAATATCGCAGAGTTATTAATCTACATCAGTGAAGCAAGTGAAATAAATGTACTGGCATAACAGTCAAGGAAGTGAGTTTGTGAATTAATTTGCTAAAATTAGTACAGTTTGACACTGATAGTCAGAGAAAAATACAGTGAGACCATTGAGAATCATTTTGCCAAATACCTTTCTAAAAATTCATGTCTGGAAATTCCAGATACCACTAAGTGTGAAAATAAAGCCGTACCGGAACTTCAATGTCAAAAATTAAGAAGACCACGGAGGCATCGACAGTGGTATTAAAAGTTACTTTTCAAACGAAAATTGTGAGTACGCAATTGTTTAAAATATTGGAGCAAAGGAGAGAAGAGGAAAGTGATTGGATTAGCATATCGTAACTTGAGGAAGTGATTACCCAGGTTACCAGGATATTTATTTCCTAATTACGATGCTACTTCAGACAAGAAGGCAATGAAAGCAGTCTTTTATCCGCAATAGAAATATTTGAGCTGATTTCGTTCATTTAAAGTCAATCAATAGAACATAAGAGGATACACTTAATAACTTCCTCTTAAATCATTATCTATTGGGAACTATATTCGTATTAGATACATTTGCAATAAATATTTTTTCTGAATATTAATGATTTATATCGAAAATAATATAATTTAAATAAAAATAATGTTAACTACCAGCTGGCATACCATCAAGTGACGCTGCGACTGGTCAGATACAGCCTCGCTTACACGCCAGTCTCGTGGCGCGTCTAAAGAGCCTGAAGCTATGCCTATTTGATGCTGCTGTTGCTGATTTCTTTGTGGCTGGTTATGCTGTTGTCGCTTTTGCTGATATTGCTGTGAAACCTGGTAATTTTCTGGCTGATTTATTACAAGTTGATTTTGCGGCCGATTTTGTTTACCAAGTGCAAACTGGGAGAAGTTAGCTTCATCAAATAAATGACCAGGCTTTGTAATAGAGGATGGTGAAGAAGGGGAAGAGCATGAGGAGCAAGGAGATGAAGAAGATGATGTTGAAGAGAGGGAAGGAGAGACTGATGAGATGAGAGCTGTTCGATTCTGGGCAGCCCTGGAAGTAATCTCTTGGGTTGAAGAGCTCTTTGCGGGAGTCGATATGCCGTTGGTATGGCGCGTGTCAAATTGAGCATTCGGACTCAGCAGGCGTTGCTGCTGATGCTGCTGTTGGGGGAGATTAACAGAATATTGCTGTTGCTGTTTCTGCTGATTATGTGCCCTCTGATTTTCGTTGTATCCTGGTTGTCCGACGAAATGAGGATGCTGTCTAAGCAATTGAGGTTGCTGATGCAAATGTTCTTGCAACTGCAGCTGAAGACGCTTTTTCATCCTGTGTTTGTGTGAATTTTTTTTAGCAGCGAACAATAGATCGTCGCCGTAGAATGCCTCCATTAAATAATCAGGATAGGATTCCTCGAGATCTGATTTTTGACAGAGAGAACGTTGCTTGCCAGCCCGTCGTCTTTTGCCGCTTAGATCATGTCCCAAAATAGCAGAGGATTGGCATATACCGGCCATGATGCCACCGCGAGTGGAAATAGTAGAAGCGGAGTGGACAGAAATAGAAGCTACAGAAGAATTCATATTCAATGCGGCAGCAGCTGCGACGGCGAGTTGAGACTTCTTGGTCTATAAAAAGGATGAGTTACGATAAAGAAATTGTAAAACTAAAACAAAATAGATATGAAGGCCAAAACTTTGTGGCCTTCCTTTTGATCAGTAGTCATTCGCCGTATGTAAGTTGTTTGACCGCGGTTTTGCTACTTGTTCATGTTACCACGGAGTTTTAGTTGAAGGAAGTGAGATACATAAATGGGAAGTGGGAAGACGCACTAAGAGAAATGTTAAAATAAAATAAAAATTTTTTAGGAGGAGCTAGTCACGAGATTGTCTTTATCTCAGTCAGTCGTCGCACTGACAAATCCGACTATGATCCAGGCGAAACGTGTGGAGATGTACAAGTCCACGGTCCCACGCTGGGAACTACCAGAAGTACTAATCAGAGGGCCTTGAACAAAGTGCATTCAATTCAGTCCCTCTGATACTAGAACCAAGTTGCAGAAACGAAGTCAAACAACTTCCATAAAATAAAATATATAAGTCAACA